CCCTCTCACCTGGCAACTGTTTGTCCAACACCTTCCTGGCTTATCTCCCCACACCCAGGGAGCCGTGGGACAAGGGCAGAGGTGCTCCCCCGCCCCACGCAGGGCAAAGGCCTGCCTGGCACTGCCCTTCCCATGCCCAGACCCTGCCAACCACAACAGGTTTCCCTGAGAGCAGCAGTACCCACTTTCCCTTGGATGGAAGCAGGTGCTGAGGGGTAGGGTGAGGGACCAGCTTTTTGGGGGGCAGCTCCCCGTGGAAGCTGTTCTGAGCCATTTCTGAGCCCGGGGGTGTAGCCAGTATCAGGTTCTGTAGGCCTGGCTCGTGCTTGCCGTGCCGGCTCATGACCCGCGACATCCCATGGTGAGGAGTTCCAGTGCTGAGCTGGACATCACGCAAAAACATCCCCCACTGTGGCTGTTTTCTAGGCAGCTGCCCAGTGGTTTCACTTAATGCTCCCCAGAACTGGCCTCATGTATGACCATGAATGCTCTGTCCTCCACCCTGATTTTTTTTACCCCTAGCATCTCCTTTCCAGGCTGCACAGTCCTAGTCCATTCACCTGGCTTCATGCAGAAGCTCCTGTACTGTTTTTCCTCCCTCCCTTTTGCGGCAGGGGAAGGGGCCAGAAGCGCGGGCTGTACTTCTGCATGCGAGCGCGCAGGGTCTCGGCCCCTCGCTGAGACGCAGCTGTGGCTGGGGGAAGCGGGCGGCACAGGGCGAGGCGGGGAGGGCTGCAGAGCAGGCGTTCGGAGCTGGCATCCCTCTGCTTGCTGGGAGGGGGGACGAGGCAGGGCAGTTGCCTTGCTTGTGTGACCTCTGTGGCCACCAGGTCTGGGGCTTTTGGGACGCGCTGCTGTTCCTCAGCCCTGGCTTTTCAGGCCGTGTGGCGGGGGAGGTGGAGGGGGCTTCACCCTGTGCCCCTTCTGCTCCAGCACCACAGACCTCCTGGGCAGGTTTGGCGTTTCCCCCATGAGCAGAGGCTGGATGAAGTTATGAGGCTGCCTAGTGCCGTGTGTCCTTGTGCCTCAGGACTTGAGGTGTGATACCAAGCAACGCTGTGCTGAGAACTGGGCAGGTTGTTTCATTTGTGCCTGGAGACAGTGCTGGGGACCCTGGAGGATTCCCCCCGGCCAGGAGGCAGCAGGGTCTCAGCTCCCGCAGCCTCCTCCTGCCAGCTGGGAGTCCCCAGGGCAGTGCTCGGCAAGGGAGGTGTCAGGGGAGCAGAGAGGGCATTTCACCCCGACCAAGGCTCTGCTGCCCGACAGGCTCTTCAACAAGCCGGGAAGTGGGAGAGGGATGGAGGGGGAGACAGGTACCCCAATGGGGTGCACACCCTTGGGAGGTGCTGTGTCAGACAAGGGGGTATCGGGCACCGCAGGGAGTCTGGAGGACGTGGGATGGACAAGGCGCCGGCATGTTCTCAGATCTTCCTCTGCTGGACCAGCCCCCAAAGGGTCTGAGGATCCAGAGACGCTGTGTGGAAGCGTGGTGGGATACAACCTGCCAACCAGGCAGCTAACCTCCCCCTCCAAAAAGCTGTTACTGACTCTGCCCCTGTGCCCTGCAGCGCTGCAAGGACCGCTTGAACTCCCTGGCCATCTCCGTCATGAATCAGTGGCCGGGGGTGAAGCTGCGGGTGACGGAGGGCTGGGACGAGGACGGGCACCACTCGGAGGAGTCTCTGCATTACGAGGGCCGAGCTGTGGACATCACGACCTCAGACCGGGATCGCAACAAGTACGGCATGCTGGCTCGCCTGGCCGTGGAGGCTGGCTTTGACTGGGTCTACTACGAGTCCAAGGCGCACATCCACTGCTCCGTCAAGTGAAGCTGCGGGTGACGGAGGGCTGGGACGAGGACGGGCACCACTCGGAGGAGTCTCTGCATTACGAGGGCCGAGCTGTGGACATCACGACCTCAGACCGGGATCGCAACAAGTACGGCATGCTGGCTCGCCTGGCCGTGGAGGCTGGCTTTGACTGGGTCTACTACGAGTCCAAGGCGCACATCCACTGCTCCGTCAAGTCAGGTAAGGCCGGGGGAGGAGGCAGTGAGTGGGGCCGGGGGCCCGCCCCCCCGCTGCGGCCTGCCCC